GATTTCCATGGAATTTTAGTACATATTGCAGTTTGAGGAGCTCTTCCCTAGAAAAGGTCTTCATCCCTGTTGGAAGGCATTTGAGAGCAGCCTCCCACTGCCTCCTTCCCTCCACTCTCCCCACCAGAGCACCCAGCATGCTGCTGACTAGTCCTGAGATTAGTCATCAAAGGACACTCCCCCACTACCATGATCTATTTCTTAAACAATATAAGTGGCTTTCTGTTAGCTGTTTTAAGTGCTGAGTCTCTGTCACTCAACTGTGCTAGTCAAGGCTTTCTAAAGCAGCTTCTCTTTACCTACAGAAACTTCTCAACCTCAATGCTCCAACAAAACCTTTCAGTTCTTGACAAGCCAGAGATTTATTGCTAGAGAATAAGGGTTATTTCTTATAGGTCATTGATGTTGGTTACTAGAAGGGTCCTGGCTATATTGTAGGCATTTTATAAATTCTGCATGAATGAGTACAAGGCCAGAGGCAGGATAATAAAGTTTTCCCAAAAGGAAAGAAGTGACTCCAGTAGAGCTTGCATATGGAAACTGTTAAGGGAAAAATTATAATAAAAATGTAACTACTACAACCATCCTGATATTTATTGAATACTGTATGAGATATTTTGTGTATGTTATATTGTACAATTTTCAATAGAACTCTATGAAGTAAGCACTATTGTTTTAGTGAGCTACTCTTATTCATTCCTGTGGATGAGGAAACTGAGGCTCAAAGACATTGTGTAACTTATCTAAGACATACAGCTAGTTAAATGCAGAGCTAAGATTGAAACCCAAGTTTCTGTCTCTAACAACTATGCTGTCTCTCCATATTGATAAAGGGCAATTTCACCAAAGTTAGTATTGAGACATGATGGAGATAACTAGGGTCTTAGAGGTCATAACTATTTTTCCAAGTCAGGAAATGTTTCCACAGGCAATATTCCTGTTTTCTTTGGAACACTGGTGAGATTTAAAGTCACTCATGAATTTCCTCCTTTGCGTCAGAAAACATTCAAAGGGAACAACCCAACGGATACAGATGGACTCCACCAGCTTCCTAGGCCAAGTTCTTCTCGTTCTTGTTGTGAGTGGCCTAGGTGGACTGACTCCTCTCTCTCAATGTAATACCTTCATGAGATGACCAGGATAACAAAGGATAAACTCCTCTGGCACTCTAAGATTAGAGATTTAGGTAGAAGGTAAACTCATCCAGTCAGCTGCCTGCCCAGGTGTAATATGTAACTTGCTTCTATGGAGTACCAGTGTTTTCAGTATCAGACTATACAAACCCTGAAAAATGTTTATTTCCCTGTTCCATGTTTACAGTTACTGCTTAGCAATTCACATTTCTTTCTAATGGTTCCTAAGTCACTAGACCAAAAAATATGAAGACTTCCTATAGCTCACAGCTTCAAATATGATTTTCATAAATCTGCTCTCAGAATGAAGTAGAATGGAGGAAGGTAGGAACTTGGAGCCAGGAGAGATGGTAGGGACAATCCAGTTCTGAGGTCTCCAAAGGGCTCCTAAGTAGATGGCCATCTGTGGAGGTCTTTGTCAGCCACCGTAGGATGAGGGGAGTGTATTAGAATTCTGTTGTTATGTGACAAATTACCATACATTTAACAGCTTAAAACAATGTCCATCTTAGTAGCTCATAGTTCTATAGGTCAGAAGTCTGACATGGCATGAGTGAGTTCTCTGTTTAGGGTATCACAGGCTAAATGAGGGTGTTGACTGGGTTGAGGTCTCTAGAGGCTCTGGGAAAAAGTCCACTTCCAAATTTACTCTCTTTACGGTTATAGGACTGAGCTCCCTATTTCCTTGCTGGCCATCAGCGGGGGCTGATCTCAGCTCCTAGAGGCCACCAGTATTCTTTGCCATGTGGTCCCCTCCATCTTCAAGCCATCAATGATGTGTTGAATCTTTCTTGTGTTTCAGGTCTCTGTCTTCCTCTTTGGCCATCAGCCAGAACAAACTCATTCTTGAAGGGTTCATATCATTAGGTCAGGCCCATTCAAATTATCTCCCTATCTTGAGTTTGGTGGATTTGGAATCTTAAATACATCTCCAGAATTCCTTTACACAATACTCAGATTAGTGTTTGACTGAATAGCTAGGAGAGAGTGTATGTACACTGGGGCTAGAAACCTTGGGGTCCATCTTAGAATTTTGTGTACCATAGAAGTAATCCAGGTGGGGTTAGACCCCCCCATTTTACTTCAGTCAGAGTTGACTTATTTTGATGGGTTTTCTGTTTTGTACCTTCATGTATATTTTTTCAGTGAATAAACAGTTAATTTGATTTATTTAGTTATCTTTTTAAAGATTTATTTTCTTTTTAGAGAGAGAGAGAGGGAGCGTGTGAATGGGGGAGGAGGCAGAGAGGGAGAAGGAGAGAAGCAGACTCCCCGCTGAGGGCGGAGTCCAGCTACACTAGATCGCACCACCAAGATCATGACCTGAGCCGAAATGAAGAGTCAGAGGCCCAACCAGCTGAACCAACCAGATGCCCCTTAATTTGGTTTAAATAATGTACCCTCTCCTCGGTCTGGCTCATAACCTATACTATTTCCTTCATTTCACAGATGAGGACACTGAAACTCAGAGAGGTGATGGTATGTCATAGAGACCAGTTTGGTTCATGCGACTGCATGGTAGGCCTTCTGACTCCTGGGCCATTGCTCTATCCCCTGAGCACTACTGCTTCACCCTCAGAAAGCTGCTTTGATCTTTTCTCATCATCAAACTACCCTGAATTTCACATTAACTTAAGTAGTCTTCTTTATGATCCCGGAAAGGTGGATTATTTCCTTAGGTTCTGTCTAATGCAAACCAACGTGAATATTTATCTGTGTGTTAAGGTACTGCATGGAATAATTGTGGACATAACCAGGGGAGGTAACTGATTTCTTACAAGGGGATAGGTAATCACCCAATGCCTGCATGCTTCCTAGCTCTGCCACAGGTTTCCTCTTCCTGCTCTGAGCTTTTCCTTGTGCGCAGTGAGCACTGCCATACAGCTCAGGAAATGCCAGGGGTTGAGTTGGAGATATAGTTTGCTGGGCAAGAAACATAAGAGAACATTGTGTTCTGTGATCTTTCTCTGAAGTCTAACCTGTGCCATACTCAGGGGTAATGGCAGTGCTAGCACACAGTCACTGACAAATCCCCACTGACCTTAATTGCCCATGCATCAGTCACTCAGTGGTTCCACTAGTTAAAATGTACCATTAACGCTGCTCCCTGAAGACGGGATGTGGTAACTAACCTAGGCAGGGAGCTTGAGAGCATGAGTCTTCCCCAAACTCTGCGTTCTCATATTCACACTCACTGTTGCTCTTTCCTCTTGTCAAAGTACACAACCAAAAAGTCGGGAAAACAGACAATCAGTAGTAACTGTTGCTCTATGAAGATTGGGCAAAAGCTATGCCCATTCAAAAATAGTGTCTCTTAAAGTTTTTGGATTACAACCCACAGTAGGAACAATGTAGCATTAAATTCAGTATGCTATACTCGTGCATGTGTATGAATACACATAAATAAATTAAAAGGAAACACATTTTTTAAAGATTTTATTTATTTGAGAGAGAGAAAGAGAGCATGAGTGAGGTGGAGGGACAGAGGGAGAGGGAGAAGCCGACTCCCCACTGGGCAGGGAGCCTGATGTGGGGCTTGGTCCCAGGACCCCAGGACCATGACCTGAGCTGAAGTTAGAGGCTTAACTGACTGATCCACCCAGGCACTATGGAAACAAAATTTTACTGAAGTAAAAAATACTAGTCGTATTTTATTATTCAAAACTATTTTTTAAAATACTGGTTGATATCTGTTAATGGTTGTAGCCTGGTCAGAAAAGGAGCTCCTGGATCCTCTTGAAGGCTTAGTGAATCTGACTACTAATCCACATTATCCCCATGGTAAGCATTATACCTGGGTCCTGAAGATTAGAGTTATCCCTGAGAAGGGAGTGTAGAATGCCAGGACTTGAGTTTCAGAGCTCTGGTTCATGTGTGCAATGTTGATGACATGATTTATCCTGACTTAATGTATCATTCATTCAATTATTGAATAAATGTCTAGTGAGAATTACTATATTCAAGACGGTGGGCATGATGACCTCTATAACTCTAGCTTATTGAGAAACTGCTCTGAATTAAACATTATCTTAACTCATCTTTATGATCTCTAAAAGTGATTATTACTATTCTTCCAATCTCACAGATGAAAAAAATAAGGCTTAGAAAGTTTTTGGCCTGCCTAAGATGGTGTAGGGGTTGGAGCCTGTTGGTAGGAGAGCAGAGTTCTTGTTCCCTTCTATGATCTGGGCATTGGAAACAAAACATAGCATTTGGCTACTAGCCCAAGTTTTAAAGTTTACATTCAGGCACCCCTGAAAATATTTTAGGAAGGCCCATTCCATTGAAAACCCTGGAAGAAGAGCCTCTGTTCTTGCCCTCTAGCCTTTGGCATTCCAGGAACTACCTGGCCAAGATTAATCAACAGCCCTCAGAAGGGCTATTGGGACTGGGTGGGACATGGAGAGAGGACAGTTTCAGGAACCCTTCTGCCCTTCCCATTTCCCAGTGGCCTCTGCTGCTGTCCTGACCTTAGAGTGAGAGTGAAGAGTTGAAAAGGAAGTAGGTGAAGTGCCAGGAAGGGGATGAAGGGCATATGGGCAGAAAGCAGTAAGTCAAGTAGGCTGGGATTCCGTGGGAAGTTCTTACCCTCTGATTTCTACCTCTCTCAGCCAAGCCAAACTCTACAGTGACACATATATTTTTAGTTGTGTTTAGTTAGCATCCAATTAACAACAGCCAGTTTGTGCTGCCTATCATTTTATGGACCTTTCTATTTTCTTTTGTCCTTTACAATGTACCATATCAATTTATCTTCAAGCCTCTGAGACTCAGCCCTCAGAGGGAAGAGTAGTCTACTCTGAGTCAGAAAGACCGGGTTCTGCCCCGGGACTGTCATTTAAAAGTGGTTTGACTTTCTTTTTTTAGACTGTCTCCCCATCTGTAGAGTGAAGATAATAATATTATCCACCCTCTGACCACACACGGTGTATTGGATAATGATGCAAAAGCAGTTTTGCAAGATATTAGTCTTCGAAGGAAGAAGACTTTCAAATAGTTTCTAGCTACAACTTGATTGGCCTAAAGGTATTAATTTACATACATATATATTTTTAATTCTGTTAGGGGGCTGGTTGCTAAGATAAGATTTCTGTTTTCAAGGAAAGCCTATGCACGGTAGAAACCACGACTCTAATATAAGTTGACTAATTGAACCACTGCAGACATGTCCTATCCTCAGGCAGTACCAGAAAAAATACTGGCTGGTTCTGCTGAAATCGCGAACATTCCCTTTTGTCAACCATGCCAGTGTGGTTGGAACACAGTGGATGGGAGGGGAGTGGAATGAATTGAGGTGGGAAATGTGGGCAGGAGTTTCATCTTGTGGGCCTTTGTGTAGATCATGGAAGGAAACTGGACACTGTCCAAGTGCAATGGGACACTAGGTAGATAAAGCTATTAGGTGCTCTTTCTCCTGGTCAGAGTGTGCGGATGGGGGACAGTTTGGAGGGACTGGGGCCTCCTCCATGTGAGAAGTCTTCCCCGGTGGACAAAGATAACCTTTCTACCCTCAGGCCACCAGCTGCTCGATGATACTGACCTCCTACTCTCCTGCTACCTCCTCCCCAGGGTGAATGTGGTACACAGGGGCAAGAAGAGACTTGGGTGCATCTACCCACAGCCTCTATACAAGGGTCTTTTCCTCTTACCTCCTCATGACCTCTGGGATCTGTTTTGACTTGCTTTCCACTCAAGGGGAGAAGAAAAAGCCTGAGCAGAGTTGAAGGAGGAAACTGAAAAATACTTCCAACAACTACCCCTAGTTCTCAAGGTAAATGAAAAATCCTCTATGGTAGTGAATAAATGCCCCCCCCCCCCAAAGATGTCCATGTCTTCATTCCTACAGCTTGTGAATATGTTCCCTTATCTGGCAAAAGAGACTGTGGAGATATGAGTAAATTAAGGACTTTGAGAGGAAGACATCATCCCAGATTATCTGAGTAACCCCTAAATGTAACCACAGAGGCACTTATCAGAGGGCAGCAATACAGTCAAAGGAGCAATCAGGAGATGTTGTGGACCGAAGCAGGAGGTTAGAGTGACGTACAGAAGGAATGCCTCTAGAAAACGCAGGAAAATGGATTCTCCTCTCCAGCCTCCAGAAGAAACCAACTCTGTCCACACCTTGACTTTAACCCAGTGAAATTGATTTCAGACTTTTAGCTTCTAAAACTCTAAGGGAATAAATTTGTATTGTTTTAAATCACTAAATTTGTGTAATTTGTTACAGCAACCATAAGAAACTAATATATCCCTTTCCTAGGCTTTTCCTCGAACTTTCAAATGGCTAGATCTTACACTCATTCATTCTTAGCAGGGCTCCAGTCTTTTGGGAACTAGATCGTGGGGTATTGAAGCCTCCCAGAACTGGTTCTAGTCTCAGCTCAGCCATTGTCTGCTTAAGTAACCTTGGGTCAGTTATTTACGCTCACTCTCCTCATCTGTAAAGTAGGGAAGGTAATAATACCTACCTTGCAGGTCAGTTGTAAGGTTTAGAGACAGTGTGGTAAGAAACATAACATGGCCGTGACACATAACTGTCCCTCATACATGAAATAAGGATACACCCTCACCTTCATAATGCTTTCTTTGCAGAGAACATGGGCCTGTTTGTGGGAGGGGAAGGGACCCTAGCTTTGGTTCCTGAATCTGAGCTACTTCTGTGGTACTAGGAGCTCTGGAAGCTGGACACTTCCAGAAAGAAACTTCCAATGAAAAAGGTTATTTGTGAAACAAAATAAGATAGGCAAGTGTCACCTGAAGAACTGACTTAAAATAAGCCCCATGTCCAGGAACATGTCACCTGTCAGAAAAACAAGTACCATATAAGGAGTTGCATTAACCAGACATGGCAGGAAGGCACCCAACACACCTTTTCTGCCATGTGACTCATCACCAGGAGGGAGCTCAACCAGAAACAAGGGCAGATTGTTCTGTTATACCTAGCCTAAGGCTTCAGGAAGGAGAATACCCCCCCTTTTTTTTTTACCTCTCCCCATTTCTCCGTGGAGAACCTAGCTAATCTCTCCTAAAGCCAATGCAAACTTTTCCTTCTACCTTCAAAATGCAACTTTCCCCATCGCCCTGTTGTTTGTTTGGAAAATCTAATGCTATAATCTAGAGTCTTGCAGTTGGGGATGTGCTTGGAGTCCACAGACTTACATAATGTTATACATAAGTAAATTGTGTCCTGTTATGTGACTTGTCAAAAGTTAATTAGACGGGCAGTAACAGATCAAGGGCTAGCTCTGAGCTCTGCTAAATCCTGCCTTTTGCTCATGCCCTGCAGCATGTGAGCAGTGACTTTGGACCCTTTAGGCATCAGTGCTAAAATGCGGTGGTATTTAGTTGATCAGATTAACCAGCTGTCTCCTAGCAGAGAGCAGACCCAAAGAGCTGAATCTAATTTTTGAAGCTGAGGATGGGTTTGAGAAATGTGCAGGCTTCAAGGCACTGTGCCAAAACTAACTTCTCCACTTTCCCCAAGTCTTGCCTTGAGCTTGTTGGGTGGTTAAACTTCTGTCCTTATTCTCAGGCCATTTTTCTATTCTATTCATTAGTAAACCAGTCGTATTTTAGAGCTTGAAAGGAAACTTAGGCATAGATTCTAGACTTTCCAAAATTTTCAGGAGAAAAAACTTCAGGTGACATCTACTCTTATTGACTTTTTGCTCACAAATGAGCAAATTGAGCTTCCAAAGAGGTTAAGTGACTTGTCTGTGGCAGTACTGTCCAGTAGAACTTTCAGCAGTGTTAGAAACATTCTCTTTACTCTGTGCGTTATGGAAACCACTAGCCTCATGTGGCTACTGAGCACTTAAATGTGGCTAGTACTACCGAGGAAGTAAATTTTTAACTTTATCTAATTTGAATTAATTTAGATCTAAATAGTCACATGTGGCTGGTAGCTACCATATTGGACAACATAGGTCTAAGGTCACAGAACTGGGATGCAACACTAGGTCACTTTGATTTTAAATTCTTTTCTTTTTTCATTACCCCCATACCGAACTCTAGGTTGAGGCAAACTTTTTCTGTGGAGCAGGAGCCTTATAAGGCCAGGTCCCTGGAAAAGCTTCCAAGGGAGCAGTAGTGGCTGCAGGTGGGATGTCACTAGTGGGGAAAAAATATATATCTTCTATTATTAGAATATAGGAACTTCCCAGGTGGGAGGGGAATAGAGAAGTTCATTCATTCATTCTTTCTTCAAGGAAATATTGAGTGTCTGCTATATGTCAGGTGAGTGCTAGCCACTGGGGACTACAATGATTACTTGACACGGCCTCTGATTAAGTTTCCTAAAGATGAATGGAGGAAAAGTGCCACATGAGTTCAGAGGTGAGAGAACCATTTGTTGCTGGTGAAAGTCCCCAGCTTCCTTTGGTAAATACTCCATGTCATGTTGCAGAAACACCTGCCTATACAACCTCACTGGGTCAGTACTGATGAAGCCTGTGCTCACTCAGGCTTTATGTCTAATCTCTTAGGTAAACAGTGTATTTTCTTCTAGATCTAGACTGGTTTATTTCCATAAATTCATCCCAGGAGGATGTAGTATAATCATGGTTGGGAGGATGATCACATGGGCTTTTTAGGTTTTACTTTAGTTTAGGATAAGTTAGGTCTAAGCTCTATAGAGAATAAGCCACAGCATTACTCTGACATCTGTATCATATAAATTTGTTCCATCCTTTCTTGTGTGACAGTTAAGTTCTCTTTAGACTATTTTGAGGACAGTTCTTATTTATAAGTTCTTATTTAGGACTCTTAACATGCCTCTGTGTGTGTGTATGTGTGTGTGTGTGTGTGTGTGTGTGTATGCACATGTGCATTAGGGGAGTGATGATGGTTAATGCATAGTATTTTTAATGCTCATAAAATTTAAATATAGTCTGAAAGAGAGACAGGTATACAAATAACTTAAATTCACAGAAAAGTGGCATAAAAAGTAGCCATGCCAGTCAGGAGGAGGAAGTAGTCACTCTTGCTGGACAGAAATCAGGAAAAAAAATTGTTGACAAAATATCCTTGGAAATAGTCTGTCAGAGGAAGATGGAGATGAGCATTTCCGATGAAGAAAATGGGAGAAGCAAAGAATCAGAGGTGGGAGAATTCAGAGAGGGAATCAGAAATGGAAATGGGAAGTTACACGATTTAATTAGAACAAGGAAACTTCAGATAGGACAGTGATAGCCAGTGAGAAAGGGAACCTGGGGCCTGATTGTCAGGCTAAAGAGTTTGGACTTTACTGCAGTCAGGTAGTCAGTGGGGAGCCATTGAAAGTTTTTGAGCTTTGGAGTCAATACAGTGAAGCTGAGTTCATGTTGATTAATCCAGTGACAGAAGGATGAATCATGGTGGGGAGAAGCTGTTGCTGGGAATCCATTCAGTGGTGATTTCTATAGTCCAGGGAATAGGTGATGTGGGTCTGAACAGGAGCAGTGGCAGAGGTAGATGGGTAGCTATTGTTTAGCTCTTTATCTGACTGAATGAAGGTAGAGGATGAGAGAAATGATGCTGAGATTCCAAGCCTAAATGACCGAAGAGATAGAGATGGCATGAAGAAACATAAGGAAGTCAGGAGAAACTGCTCCCCTGGTTTAGGGGGAAAGTTGGCCACCCTGATGGAGATGCCTAGCACAACAAAATGAGACATTGAGAGCTGGATGTCAGCCACTAGGGAGTAGTGGGATGGAGACGTAGCTCTCAGAGCGGAAGAGGAGGTTGTTCATGAACGAACCAAGTTCTCAAGAGGAGTAGGGGCTGAGGGTAAATCTTAAGAAATGGTGAAGGAGACAGATGAAGGGAAGGAGTTTCAGGGGGAAGAACAGAAGAACAAAACACCTCAGAGCCAAGGGAGGAGAAGTGATACAGAGTGGGCTAGTCAGTAAGTCTCTATATCCAGCTCTTGTTGCTAGATCTTCTTTGATGAACAAGAAAGATGTGTTCCTTACCCTCATGGAGCTCACCATCCCCTGGTTAAAACAGATGAAGCAAGTGAGCAAATCAACTAATCAATAATTTCAAATAGTACAAGTGATGAAGAAAATAAACTGGATGCTGTGATAGAGGACATGTCATCCTTTTACAGGGCGTCCTTTTAGAGGAGTGGTTAGGGAAGACCTCTTTTACCAGATGTCATTTCAGCTAAGATGAGGAGTGAGAAGAACCTGGGTGTACAAAAAGAGCGAGGTAAGCTTCCTGGCAGAGGAAAGAGTCCAGCAGGCTGGAAGTGCTGGCAGATGGCTAGGGAGACTGGGGAGTGGAGACTGAGGAGGAGAGGCATGTTAGATAAGACTGTAAGCGTAGGCAGGGGCCAAAAGATGTCGGCCCTCAGAATGAAATGTGGACTTTATTGTAAAAGCAAAGGTCAACAGCATGAAACCGAAAAAAGAGCTTAAAGAGAGTGCAGGTAGAGAATAGATAATGGGAGTCAGCCACAAGGATGGGATTGGTGATCTTCAAGGGAGTAGAAGAGAGGATGGTAGCTTAAGTTAGTCTACAATGTTGGGGGATTTGAAGCATCTGGAGACCATTTCTTGGAGAAGTTTGGTGGTAATAGGGGGCTAGGAGATAGGATATTCTCAAGGATGTCAGTCAAGACCATGCTCACCTCAGACACTTTAAGTAGTCATGCCAAGAGTCACAAAGGCTTGTTTTTATCACTGTAGCTGAAGTCATAAAGGAGAAATGGAACACCTGGCCCCTGTTCAAAGCTGTTCCTGAAGTCCGCCAGGAAGGCATAGTAGACAGCCAGCATTCCTGTCAGAT